GGAGTAGTATTCCTTGTTTTTTCATAGAATAAATTGGTTAAAAGCAAGTTCAGATCATTCAACCCTTAAAAAATAAAATTTTAAAAAATAAATAAATAAATATACATGACTACAAGTAAGGGAAAATGCTTTAAAAGATTACTCACTTCTTGAAGAACCTTGGCCTTCTGGGACTTATCCACACTCTTGATTGCAAAATACTGAATGGTCTTCTTCTTCCTTCCTTTGTATACAGTCTGTGCAAGTGAAATGTACAAAATTGCAATTTGATGATTGTATTAGAAATCTGTTTTATGCACATTACTGAATAGTTTCACAGTAATACTAAATGAACTTCTCACAGAAACAATTCCTTTTAGCCTATTGTTTGAACAGCATACCATATGCTAATTTCTGAAGTGATTCGTTAAAATGTTTCTTAACACAAAAGTAAAAGTAAATTTTGTCCACTACAATGTATTTTACTTCCATAACTGTCCCCATGCATTGAAGCAAACACCAAAATTTGCCATTCTTCCTATGCTTCAAGCCTCATTTACGATTTTGATTCCAAAGTTTACTGAAAAAAAAACTAAAAAAAAAAAAACTAAAAAAAAAAACTAAACTAAACTAAACTTTTGTGAGCTCAATCCGTATTTCAGAATTCAGAAGCTATTCGCTATTGATAACATACATGAACGAAACAGATGCAAAAAAGAGCGCAAATCTCTCATTTCGGAAGATGTGAAATCACTAACTTAGCTCAAGTGTGTGGAAAATACAACTGAGCGAAAGCGGAGTAGGAAAGAGCTTTACCGAGTGCTTGCCGCGGCCGATGGCTTCGTAGATATGGTACTGATCCATCCTTTCTGGCTGGGAGAAATTCAGCTAGGGTTCCGAATCTCAGCAAGACTTGCTTCTCCCCTACTCCCTCTATGCACTAGTGTATATATGTAAATGTGTAGATGTAGAAAATTAGAAAAGAGAAAAGGGATTATGATTGGAGTGAAGAGAGGATTTTCTGTAATTCTGAGATTTGGGATTTGAATAGAGAGAGAGAGAGAATGAGAGATAGCAGTGGGCGGGAACGTTTTGAAGTCAAAAATGAAACGAAATTAAATTGAAAAACGCATCGGCAGAAATATAAAAATTAAAATAAAATAAAATTTGTTTGAATACAGTATATCGACATGTTTCGATGGGGTCAAAGTGTTAAACGGTATAAAACACCTTTTCCCGTTTTTTACTTTTTTTAATTTCTTGACTTCTGATTGACGATTTTTTCTTTTGTAGGAGGAGTTTGTAATATTATTTCAAAGTGTGTATTTTGGATAAAATTCATTTTATAATTGTTGTCGATAAAAAAAAAAAAAAAAAATAGATTACAAAAAGATCACGCCTGTATGGGCAGCTCAACTGGTTATAGAGGTGAAAGTTGGAAAGAAAGACCAGTTGCTCTCAAAGTGATGGGGGCTCTTTGTGCGCAGTAAGCAAAGGTCTAGCATTTGTGGTTCATGTTCAGTTGATTTTTGGAAAGAATTATAGGTTGGATCACATTTGTGTGGCAAATTATATCGTGAACCGGTGCATAATCGCATAATCGATTATGCACCGAGTTTCAAAACGACGTCGTTTTGTTTAATGAAAAGAAACGGCACCCGTTCCGCGCCGTTTCGCAAAAAGTAACTATGTTATTCAGTTTCATTTTGTATACATTACAGTTTCAGTTCAACACAACTACAGTTTCATTTCGATATAACTACAGTTTCATTTGATATTTATACACTCAAATATTTTTTTATTTTTTTTTGAATGTTATACACTCAAATATGTGAAAATGTTATTTTATTTTATTTTATATACACTATAGTTTCATGAAAACACAACTACATGATCATTTCGATATAACTACAGCTTCATTGCACAATATACACTCAAATATGTGAAATGTTATTCAGTTTCATTTTATATACACTGCAGCTTCATTTCACTACAACTACAGTATCATTTTGATATAACTGTAGTTTCATTTGATAATATATCTACATCTACATCTACATCTACAAATCTAATAAGAGTAAATAATGTTAGGCCCTTAACTGGAACAACAAAAAATGTCGGTGTAATTATTTCTTAAAATGGATGGTTCATATTATTTTGATTTTAGTATTATTTAATGATGATTTTTCTTATTTACCCTCTATTATATTATTTTCTTCCCTTAAATAACCATAATTCCGTTAGTATAAACTTTAGTAACGGAATATTCCGTTAACTATTTATTATTCTTAACTTACTCATTAATTTTTACAAAAAGGTCTTAGGTTCGAATCTCATCCCAATTAGAGTTGACATAATTGTTAAACATATACTACGAATATGTTAAAACGTATTAATATACTAGTTTTTTACGCGCATTGCGCGATTAGGATAATGCCCAATGTTTTTTTTTAATAAGTACTTTAAAGTATATCAAGGCAAAATTATATTGAAATTGTTCATGCATAGATAATTGAATGTTAAATTTGCGTATTTAAATAGACAATTCTAAGTTTACAAATGCAAGATAATATAGTCAAGATTGATTATAATTGTCAATAAATAATTGTATAGGTATGGTTGAAATCAAATACGGGACATAAGGGAAAGCAAATAAAAATTAGGGCATAAAATATTAAATATATACTAATATTAAAGAGCTAACTGCCAGGGCATTGCGAGATAGTTTTCCACTTCAATTTGTTGTGTGATTTGAATACTCTTTTTGTCAATAAATCCTCCAAGTAGTTAATATGATTAGCTTAATTTTATTATGTTTTATTTTTTTAAAACAATTATTATTATTATTGTTATTATTATTATTATTATTATTATTATTATTATTATTATTATTATTATTATTATTATTATTATTATTATGTATACCCTTAGGTCATTTTACATGTTAATCTAAACAGCTAATTTTTTCAAATATCTTTTTACCAACCGTTGATATAATTCGCTGGTCAAATTCGCTAATATAATCCGCTAACGCTAACCGCTAACTGCTGATTGTCAAACAAGGACATTGCGAGGTAGTTCTCACTTCAATTTGTTATGTGATTTGAATACTCTCTTTGTCAACAAATCCCTCAAGTAGTTAATACGATTGACTTTATTAATTATATATTTTTTTTAATTTTTTCATGGTATTAATAAAATACTTTGTCAATAAATATATAGCATTATTTTGTATTATAACTTTGATATTTAATTAAAAAACAGTGCACAAAAAAATAATAGACAATGTAGTGAATATAATCGATCAATTGATGAATTTGAAATTTGAATGTAAAGAATTTTTACTTCGAGAAATATAAAGACAATATAACTAATAAAATTATGTCTCTTAATTAATTTATTGATAATGAATAATTTTTTTTTTAGTAATGACATTGTAGGGACAATGTAGCGAATATTATCAATTGATGAATTTGAATATAAAGATTTTTTATATTGGAGAAAAATAAAGACAATATAACTAATGAAATTATTTCTATTATTTAATTTATTGATAATGAATATTTTTTTTGAATAAAGACATTGTAGAGACATAATTCTAAATTAAAGAAATGCATATGTATTATTTTTTGTTGTAGCTACTAAATTATTATTTAATTTAATAAGAGTAAAATATAATACTAATTATGCCAACTTTGATTGGGATGAGATTCGAACCTAAGACCTTTTTTTTATTGAAATCAATGAGTAAGTTAACGGTGAACTAACAGAAATTAACAGAAAAGATAATATTTAATGGAAAAGTTAACGGATAATCATATTCATTAAGGATAAATTAGGAAATCTTAAGAAAAAATTAAAATCTGATCAATCTGAGCCATTCATTTGATTAAAAAATTTGACCGGACCGCCATTTTTTCTACCCATTATAGGCCTAACTCTCTTGGGCTCTTATTAGTATAGTAGATAACTAGATATATATATATATATATATATATATATATATATATATATATATATATATATATATTGATACTGCTAATTATACGTAAGCAATATATAACAACCCGAGGCCAATTAAAGCAAGTAAATATCTTATTGATCACGGTAAAGGCCCTAAGTACAATCTACTTGGTTGCTCTGAGTGCCGACTGACTGCGGTCGGGATTCTCTAACAACAACCTATCGATCGTCCAAAAGTCCCCTCCACTGTAGCTACTGTGGGTATTTATAGCCGCCGTGCCGGGGACAGGATTCCGGCCGCTCGGCATGTCTTCCACGTAGCCACCACGTGTCACCCTCCCGGGTGCCCTGTCTGTCATCATGAAGAGCCGCCACGCGTCCTTTCGCGTCCTTTCGCCAGCTCTCTCGTCAAAGGGCTACCGCTCGGTGATCGACACCAGCGTTCGGGCAACTTCCGGCCGTTCCCGACCGGGGTCTTCATGAAAAAGCCCGACCTGCTACCTGCAAAGATCAGAAGAAAAAGACAAAGGCAAAGTCGGTCGTGGTGGAGCTTATGTCGGTCGGGACATTCCCTACCAAAAGCCCCCCAGCCCGGGTCTTTTTGATCCCTCGGGAAAAAACGGGACGGGATGAAGAAGCCGAACCGTCAGCCACCAAGCCGACCTGCCAGCTGTCATTCCCTTCCTCGCCACGTGTCGGCCACTGCCGGCCTCTGCGACTGCAACCGTCGCCTCGGAGTTAGCGCCAGTCGTGTCACGCAAGTGGGCTCTTTTCCCGCCTAAATGCCCTCCTATAAATAGGCCCTTGAGGCCCTCATTTGAACTTTCCTCACTCTTTTGCTTCAATCGGTACCCTCAGAGAGTCCCGAGCAGAGCACCTTTGCAAGGCAGTCGAGCAAAGACTTTCAAGCTCTCATCCGCGAAGTTCCCTCATTCGGTAAGTTCTCAACCCTTCTCTCTTCTTTATGCTTCCATTTTAGGTAGAACTTCTAGGTCAGCTAACTGTCCCGGACATTCTAAGTCCTCTACTAACCCCGACCGACCTTTAGGTAGATCGAAATGACGGACTCTGACAGTCAGAATGCCTCGATCGCGGATTACGACGAAGAGGTCGAGCATCTCAGCGACGAGGAGGTGGACATCATGTCCTACTCCCCCGAAGCTATCTACCGACCGGCGCCAGCCCCCGAGCAGGCCGCCGCACAAGACACGTCGTCCAGCTCATCCGGGTCGTCGAGCTCTAGCTCAAGCGGATCGGGGAGCTCCGGCGAAGAAGAAGAAGAAGGAACCACGTCGGGGAGACAAGGATCTCCGACCGAAGGCGTTAGGGAAACGCCCATCCGGGTGGTTGGGGACCACCCGGAACCTGCTCCCGAGCCGGCCGAGGAAGACATAGCTGGGCCAAGCGCACCAGCCGCAACAGAGTTCGAATTCTTGAACATCGAGAATGTCGAACAACAAATGAGCCGATTAACCAAAGGCGAGGCGGCTAGGATTGCCGAAAGGCTCGTAGGTCGGGTGGAATTTGACACGAGCCGGAAGCTAGGGAATGTCATCGATCGGCATCGGGGCAAATGGATCGGGATGCATTACGACTCCCTGATGGCCCCGATCGCCATTCCCTTCACCCCCCTCCTGAACGCTTTCTTGGCCTACTACCGGGTCGTCCCGGCCCAGATTTGCCCCAACGCGCACCGGATCATCGCCTGCTTTCCGCAGATATGCGCTCGGCATGAAGCCGCCTGTACGATGGAGCTGTTCAACTTCATCTACCAAGTCAAAGCTCTCCCGGGCAGCTACGGGGGCGGGTTCTTGATGCTACAGTCCCGAGCCGACATGTGCGCAATAAGAGGCCTGCCCGGGAACAACAGGGGGTGGAAGAATAGGATTTTCTCCCTCAAATACGACCCCTGGATTCTCCCGGTTGACCGCGCTTGGAGCACCCACTTTCGGAAACAAGTGGTGCCGGACGAGACGCAAGCGCTCAGGGAGACGGTCAGTCGGATCTCGAGCGAGCTGCACGAGTATACAATCTTCCGAACGGCTGAGAGTCTCGAGGCGGCTAAACTCCCGCCCCCCACATACGAGCTACAGGAGAAATATTTGCCCGTGCCGATGGGCGTGACGGTCGCCAAACCGTCGAGGCGAACGAAGAAAGGTTTTAACTCGAGCTAACCCTCCCGACTTAACTTTATGCCTCGATCGCACTAACTTGATTTCTCTGTTTGCAGCTATGGCAGAATTCGGTGATGAAGAGGCCCCCCTTCCCCCGCCCGCCAAGATCTCCCTTGGTGGCAAGAAAAAGGCGAAGGCGAAGCCCGCCGGGGAAAAGGAGATTCCCTCGGCCCGACCACTAAGCACCTCGACCGTGACGACGGGCGAGGGCTTTATCGTCGAGCCCTCCGACGTCCTGATCACCCGGGTGGAAGTCGCCCGGGGAAAAGAGAAAGTGCCCGAGCAGGGCGTGAGGGAGGTGGGCGGCATGAAACGCCGCCGTGAACAACGCAGTCCGAGCCCTTCGGTCGGGCGAGAAAGGGACGCTTCGTCCATATTGGCCCGGATTGGCAATGCGGGGCGGGCCAAAGAAGATCTGGGGAAGATGACCCCCACACAGGTGGCCGAGAGGATCGGCTATGATCTGGCCGAGGTAAGCCTCCTTTAGCTATCCATCTTTTGTGCAAGTGCCTTCGACCGGGCTAACCCCGACCGTTTTGCCTTTGCAGATCTCCCGAGCGGCCCAACTACTACAGGGCCGGGCCATGCTGGCCGAGGAGGCCGACCACCACAAGAAGACGGCCGCCCGTCGCCTTCTGGAGGTTAAAGAGCTCCAAGCCGAGCTCGAGAAGGCCCAAAAGGCCTTAAAAAAGGGCGACGAGGACCGGGCCCTGGCGGAGAAGGTGGCCCATCGGGCAATCGAGGAGGCCAAACAGCTGAAGGCTCAGCTCGGTAACCCGATCGAGTTGGCGCAAGCGGTCTTCAAAGACAGCGACTCGGGCTCAGCCTTCCTCACAGCAGCCCGAGGAACAAAGGTCGGGGAGGATCTGATCCTCTCGTTTGGGCGGTGGGCCTTCAAGGCCGGGCAGCGGAAGATGCTTGAGCGGGCTCGTACCCGGATGGAGCAAGCTCTCGAGGGGGAGGACCTTCAGCTGGTTCTCTCGACGCTGCCCCCGGACTTGGCCGATCCCGGTCCTTCTCCCTTCAGCCCAAAAGAGAAAACGGCCGAGCAAGGCGGGTCTTCTGCAGCCGCCGCGAGCGAGAAGGAAGCTGCTGGAGCTCGGGGAGCTGCTGGAGCTCAGGAAACGAAGAAGTAGGGATAAGCTTCTTCTGTTTTTTTGTAAAGGGACATCGATCGGGAGCCCGGTCCCGAATTTGTACCGGGCATTTTTGCTGATTAATAAAAAAAAAATTTTTTGTCCAACTTATCCCTTTCGTCTTCGAGCACACACTGATCTCAATCGCTCGACCGCCCGGCCTTCAGGCCCGGTCTTGCAATACTCGACCCTGCTAACGCCCGACCTTAGGGCCTTATGGCTTGGTCGCACATCTGATGTTTGGTCGCACATCTGATGTTTCGTCGTAAAATTGGCCAACCCGACCGAGTTTACCCGATCTCCCGGCCTTGACGATTTTTTGAAAGTAGATTCGTCATAATATTGATCTACCCGACCAAGTTTACCCGGTCTCCAGGTCTTGACGAATTCTCCGAAAAGAAGTTAGCCCCACGGTCAGGATATATCGAGCGATATGGGCCTATCAACACTTCATTTATCCCAGCCCCCACACTATTGTGCCCTCGAGGCACGAGTGGGTACAATAGTGGACAGAAGTTGGACGGATCGGGGATATGCTGAGGGCTCCTGGCTTCCCCGATCAATGGCGTGACTCGAATGTCCGCCGATGTGGAGCGCATCTGACCGGTCGATAGATTCGCCCGGTCGGTGTAGCTTGAAGATAAATTGATCTGCATGCACTGAAGGTATAGAAAATAACCGATCGGGCCGCCGTATGCCAACGGTCGAGCAATCACCGATCGTATATACATTAATCCTTCCCGCTCGCAGGCGGTTGAGTAAATATTTACAAACATAGGAATTTAATTACAAACGACGACCGGGACCTACACGCAGGTCAAGCCCCCTCTTCGTCCAAAGATTACAAAAAAGAGGCTTAATGCCTAAACATAACGAGGTGCTCGGAATTCCAAGTCCCCTCGATTACCCGACCAGTTGTCGTCTCCAGTCGGTATGTACCCGGCCGTATGATCGCACTGATGATATACGGCCCCTCCCAATTCTGAGCTAGCTTTCCGCCCTCTAGAGGTTGACTGGCCTCCCTTCGTCGTAGAACGTAGTCTCCGACCTGAAAATAACGAGGGTTGACTCGAACGTCTTTCGAACTCTTAACACGCTTCTGGTACTCGGTCATACGCCGAGCGGCTAGCTCTCTTTTTTCTTCGACCGCATCGAGATCCACGGCCATCGCATGTTCGTTTTCCTCCGCATTGTAGGTTCTCTCTCGATCGGTCGGGATCCAAGCCTCGATCAGGAGTCGGGCTTCTGCTCCATAAACCAGGGCGAAAGGGGTTTCCAAAGTAGCTTCCCTCGGGGTCGTCCGATAAGTCCATAAGACATATGGCAACTCATCGGCCCAACTACGACCAGCCGAGTGTAGCTTCTTTTTCAGACCTTCCAAAATCGTCCGGTTCGCGTTCTCCACTTGACCGTTTCCCTGAGGGTAAGCCACCGACGACCGGACGTGAGTCGTCCCGATCGTGGCCAAGAAGTTCTGGAAATATTGGCTTACGAATTGGCGGCCATTGTCGCTGATGAGATGCACGGGCACACCAAAGCGGGAAACCACATTGCGCCAAACGAAGCGAGCACATTGCTGAGAGGTAATCGTGGCTAAGGGCTCGGCTTCTATCCACTTGGAGAAGTAATCAATGGCGACGATCACGAACTTTCTCCGACCAGAGAGCTGAGGGAAGGGGCCCAAGATGTCTACTCCCCACCTAGCGAAATGAATTACGGTCGTGACCGGCTGATAGAAGGTTGCCGGTCGTCCAGGCATCCGGGCAAACAGTTGGCACGTCTCACATTCCCGAGCTAACTTTTCACAGTCTAGCTGGAGGGACGGCCAATAGTACCCGATCAGCATGATACGACGGGCCAGGGATCGGCCTCCTTGATGTGAAGAGCAAATTCCCGAGTGCAGTTCCTTCATAACTAAATCGGCCTCAAATGCGGTCAAGCAACGCATAAGCGGGCCTCCATACGATCGCCGATATAGGCGACCGTCCAAGACTTGGAACCTTGGGGCTCTAAGCTTGGCCTTCCGAGCACGCTGTGGGTCGTCTGGGAGGCGACCGTGCTCGAGGTACTCCTTCAGATCGGTGATCCAATTGTCATCTACCGGTTGGATGGGATTGACCGGTAGACGGTGAATACTGTGTCTCGGGATCACCAAGATCCGAGCTATCTTCGACATATGTTCCGGGGCGTCTTGAGCTAATTTGGATAAGATATCTGCATCGGCGTTATCCAATCGGGGTATGTGCCGGACGGTATATCCCCGGAACTGAGCGAGCTTCTCCATGGCAAGGTCTCGGTATAACTACAAACGCTCACCATTGACTTCATAATCTCCGAGAACTTGCCCGACCACGAGCGCGGAATCTGTCTGAGCTCGGATGTACTCAGCCCCCAAGTCCCGAGCGCACTGTAAGCCGTTAACGAACGCTTCGTACTCGGCTTCGTTGTTGGTCGGGTGGAACTGGTACATGAGAGCAAAATAGACCTTGAATCCTTCCGGGCTCGTGACCACCACTCCTCCTCCTGCCCCTTTCTTGCTACTTGACCCATCTGTAGCCAGCGACCACCACTCAGCCTCGGGATCCGCAACCTCAGGAGGCCGGGTATCCCGGGCGGTACACTCAACCAAGAAGTCCGCAAGAGCTTGACCTTTAATAGCCGGTCTTGGTCGGTATTCGATCGCGTACTGGGTCAACATTAACGCCCATTTGACTAGGCGACCTGATGATGAAGCAGTTCGGAGGACTGGCCCGATCGGCTGATCGGTCAACACGCGAATTGCTCGACCTTTGAAGTAGGGAGCCAACTTCTTCGCGGCAATGTATAAGGCGTAGACGACCTTCTCTAGCCGGGAATACCGGAGCTCGGGACCATGTAGCGCGTGGCTTACATAGTACACCGGTCGCTGGACCCCTTCCGGATCGGTTCGGCACAACACTGCGCTTACTGCGCGATCGGACACAGCGAGGTACACGTCTAGCTCTTCTCCGAGCTCAGGCTTTGAGAGCACGATCGGTGACATGAGATATTCCTTCAGCTCATCAAAAGCCGCTCGGCATTCTTCGTCCCAGACGAATCCATTAACCTTCCGCAATACCTTGAAGAAAGGTAAAGCGCGCTCGGCTAGCTTGGAGAGGAACCGGCTGAGGGCTGCCAACCGACCGGTCAATTGCTGGACCTCCCGAACGGTGGAAGGTGGCTGCATGTCCAGAATCGCTTTTACTTTGGCCGGGTTAGGCTCGATTCCTCTCTTGGTCATCATATAGCCGAGGAACTTGCCGGTCTGAACCGCGAACGTGCACTTGGTCGGGTTCAGCCGCAACTGGTACTTCCTCATGATCTGGAAGCACTCCCGGAGGTCCCGAGTGTGGTCGGATCGGTTCCGACTCTTGACCAGCATGTCATCGATGTAAGCTTCCATCGTTCGGCCCAGTAGATCGGCAAAGAGCATGTTGACCATCCTCTGGTAGGTCGCTCCTGCGTTCCGGAGGCCGAACGGCATCACTCGGTAACAATACAGCCCATCCGGGGTCACGAAGGCTGTCTTGCTCTCGTCTTCATGGTGCATCATGATCTGATGGTACCCCTTAAAGGCATCCATGAAGCTCATTAACTCGGCCCCGGCCGTCTCGTCGACCATCTGGTGAATGCTCGGTAGAGGATACGGGTCGAGCGGACAGGCTTTGTTGAGGTCCGTGAAGTCGATGCACATCCTCCATGCTGGGGGCTTAGGAACAAGAACGATATTTTCCACCCACTCGGGATAGACCACCGGACGGATGTGCTCGATCGCCGCCGCCATCTTTTTGACTTCTTCTCTAACAAACTCGCGGCGATCGGAGGAAAGGTGGCGTGTCTTCTGCACGACCGGCTTTGCTGCGGGATCGACGGCTAGCTTATGACAGATGACCGAACGATCAATCCCGGGCATATCTTCGGGCCCCCATGCGAAGATATCAGCATACTCCCGGAGCACGGCCAGAACTTCCGCTCGGATCTCGGGGGTGAGGGCTCGACCAATCTTTATCTTCCTGTCCGGGCGGTCCTCGGACAAGGGAACTTCTTCAATTTCTTCGGAAGGCTCAGGCTGTTCCTTCCGATCCTTAGCCTCCTCTTTGGCTATGGTGTTCACCCGGGAAGATGGACCGGAGTCACGTCTATTGACCGCTCGGGTGTAACACTTCCGGGCGGATTGGACATCGCCACGGACCACGCCGACCCCATTAGGGGTGGGGAATTTCATGCACAGGTGGGGCATAGAAATTATCTCACCGATCTTCATAATGGCGGGTCGGCCCAAGATAATGTTGTGGACGCAATGGAGGTTGACCACAACAAATTCTAGCTCCGTTTGGATCGACTTTGGAGGTGTGCCGATCTCGACCGGGAGCGTTATTTTTCCCTCGGGGTAAATAAGAGCCCCGGTAAATCCTGACAGTGGTACACCGACCGGAGTCAGCTCCTTCCTGTCGAGGCCAAGCTTCTCAAACACGTCCAAGTATAGGACGTTCACACTGCTGCCCGTGTCAACCATAACCCTCTGGACGTCTGTCCCCTTAACGTCAATCGTGACCACGAGCGCCTCCATGCCGTGGTCGCTGCTGGTAGGTTGGTCCTCGAGGGTGAAGGTTATGGGTTCCATCTTCTGCCTCTTCCCGGTTCCCCGGGAATCCACTACAGCGACCGGGCAATTAGCCCGCGGTCGGGAAGCATCCTCCAGTCCACCAAAAATGACGTGGATGGTAGGCTTTCCGGACGGGCGGCTACCAGACGGAGGGTCGGGGTCTCGTCGGTCATCATGACGATCATCCCGTCGATCGTCCCTTCTGTCTTGCCCAGATCGATCAGAGCGGTGATGGGAACGTCTATGATCCCTCCGCTCGGTGTTCCTCTTGTTGTCCTCTCTCTTCCCCACACACTTGTCCAATTTTCCCCTGTTAAGCAAATCTTCCAACAATTGGCGTAAGTGGGTACACTCCTCGGTATCATGCCCGGCACAT